TCTCTCTCTATGTCTCTCCCTGTCAATGTCTCCCTGTCTCTCTCTCTCTGTCTCTCTCTCTCTGTCTCTTTCTCACGTGCCATCTCCCACTTTCTACTCTTTCTCACCTCTGAGTTAGAATGGTATAGATTGACTCAAATTTAGATTTGAGCTTTCTTCTTTCCTCACTCTGAACATTTCAAAATACATTCACAGTCAACACCTTTCTAAAGTGAATTTACGACTGTAATGTAGGCTAGGCTGTGGCAGTCTGCGCACAGAAATGTTCTACAAGCAGCAATGCAACAAACAGTTGACATCAACCAACTTTGTAACAAGGTTGATTGAGGGATAAGTAACAACTCCCTCAGTACTGATGTCCGACAGTGTGCCACTCACTCAATCCTGACCCTCTGACAGTGCAATACTTCCTCAGCACTGACAGTCCAAAGTGACAGTGCTGTCAGGTTATGTTTAAATTTACAGAGTTGGTTATGAAACCCATGACCTTCTGACTCTGAGAAAGGGAAGCTGAGAGTGCGTGCCCACTGAGCCATTGCTTACTCCACAGATAGAAATCCATGGGTAATCTGTCTGGGAGTCTGGGACACATATTGCCTATTCAACCATGTTGGCTGCACAAAACCTTCACACCGTTCTCACCTGATATATATCTATTCTGGTCCATGCCTCTATGCACAGTCCCATTACTGCTCTGTAGCTTTGGGTAGGTAATGTTAGTGTAGATAACATCCTTGGGTTTGATGGTTGCAATGTGTTGAAATTGATTGTTTGAAATGAGTAAACACAGCTCCTGTACCTGGTGTTTCTCAGACAGTCGACTGTAGATCAATGAAAGGTCACTGGTGTTTGAAACTGCCTCCTCAGTCGCTGTCTTTCTCCTGCAATAACACAACATCACAATGTGGTTACGATGTACCAGAGAGTCAGTGCAGCACAGATACGGTTACATGTTTGGAAATTCTTTTTGAATCTGCTTTCCCATGCCTATCGGGCAGTGTGTTCCTGATCACAACAGCTCATAGCTATTCACCTGGACACCCATCAATGAAAGGCCCTCCCTGGATCACAGGGACATGGGGATCAGTTATAGAAGGAGTGTCTGGTGCCTCACCCCAAGGGAACAGTCACCTACTGGAAGAAAGAAAGTGGAAGCAAATATTCAGAGTAAAATTGAATGAAGCATTCAGACTTACTTTTGCACATGCAGGAAGATTAAGATTCCAGCCAG